CATTTAGCAATGATTCTGAACTGAAGGAAAAGTGAATTTTGGCCAAAACTGTTTTGATCATTGTTTCTTATATCAATACTCACAAGAAAACACCCATTACAGAGGAAGCATTGAACAACCATGTGGACAAGATGGTCCGTCCAAAGCATATCAGCCAGCCAGCCAGCCAGAGAATGTGTGTCCTTGTCAATTTCTTGAACAATAGACCCATGAACAGATTAGCTGAGGTGACAGAATTGAGCTTCTTTATAAGCGCAGAAGCATGGGTTTTCTCCCATCAAGAAAAATTTAGCTACTTCTGTTGCTGTTGCAGGACTTTTCCTTAGTTCAAAGACAGGGTTCTTTGTCCCATGGCCACGAAAATTCAGGCTCACAGACAATTTGAATGGTGAGTAAGACACGGTTTTATTAGGTGAAGAGGAAGAAAAGGGGGAAACAGGGACTCTCACAAGGCCAGAGTCCCTGCTAGAGCACTTCCCACCTAGCAGGTTGAATTCCAGCTTCCACACAGGAAGAGGAGGAGCCTGGCTCCTCCCCACTGCAAAGGATGACAACTTCTGTGACTCCACCCCACTGCACAGGCCGCTTGGAATTTCTCCAGGGACCCTCTCCCACCTGGCTGTCTCATTGCCAAATGTCCACCCTGTCAGCAGTAAATACAACACTGAGCCTTCGATGTGGAATCATCCCTCAAAGGAACCAACCACACACTAGTTGGCAAGTTGATTACATTGGACCACTTCCACCCTGGAGATATCAGGAATTTTTTTTTTTATTAATACATATTCTGGGTATGAATTTGTGGTCTCCTCTAAAGTGCCACACATAGTTGCATAAACTGAGGGTTCAGAGTGTCTCATTGATCATTCTGATCATCAAGGGATTTCACATCCCTTGCATCAACAGACCCACTTTATATCAAGGGCATGTGACAGTAGTCATGTCATATAGCATATAGCTTCATCATATAGCATTAGCCATGAACCACTAGCCTGATAGAACTTTGGAATGACCACTTAAGGGCCCAGCTAAAGCACCAGCATACGGACAGCACACTGAGGGGCTGAAAAGTTATTCTTCAAGATAGCGTTGTGTCCCTGTTACATAAAATACATGGACCTGGGTACCAAGGGGTGGAAGTAGGACTATCAGCCCATCAACCACTACTTTTAGTAACCCACTTTTGTGCTTCCTGTTCTTATAACTATAGGTTCTGCTGGACTAGGGATTCTGGTTCCCTTTGAGGGGGAAAAGGGAGGATGCTGCTTCTACAAGGGAAACAGAAAGGTTTTTACCAAACCCAAGGTAATATATACTACCTCATAATTTGGGGATCTTCATGGCAGTCCTGGAGGCCAAAAACGGAGTTACTACTGTGTCAGGGACAGTTGATCCTGATTATCATGAAGTTAACCCCACAGCAGAACTGGGGAAATACGTCTACAACTCAGGGAATTCACTGGGATGACTTTTAGCACTTTCATGTCAGTGATTATTATAAATAGGCAACTGTAGCAACTACAGCCTGACAAGAGCAGACTAACCAGGGGCTTATACCCCTCAGTGATGAAGGTCTAGGTTACCTCCCTGGAAAAGAAATCTAGAGCAGTAGAAGAAAATGTTAGCTGAAGGTGAGGAGAATCAAGAATAAGTAGTATAGAAGATAGATAGAGGAGATAATAAATATGAATTGCAGACATGGAACCAACTATAGCAAGCATAACTTGTCCCAGTAACCCTCTTGTTGTCAAAAACAACAACAATAGCAGCAACAACAACAAAAACTAGTGATCTGTATGGATTTAACACAGAGCACAAGTGGATCTGAGCAAGACAAGGAGTGAACTGTATAGATACTGTTGGTTCCCTACCAATATCTCCTAGGCAGTCATGCCAACACACTGGACACCACTTGCTGAAAATCCCAGCAACCCTGAAGACAACTTTGACTTTCTGGCCATGAATGTGGAGGGTGTGGAGAACAAGCCAGAAATGCAAAAGAGTTAATGCTGCAAAAGCAGTTCTTAATCAGTGATAGACAGTGAGTTTAGGCACGATTACTCCAGTTTCTTCATGACTCATTTGGCATAGCTCCGAAGAGTATGCTATGCTGTCTCTTGGAGTTATTGTGACAGGTAGTTAGACAGGCATGAATGGGGCACAAGAGGACTCTCCCCTCCACCCACCAGGAATCATCAGGTGATGGTTTGGCAGTTATCACATTGCCTCTCTAAAAATGATAATTGGCAGCAAATTATCACTGGCAACTTGCCCAACAGATAAAGACACTTGAGATTGGTAATCGGCTTCCAATAAAATCTCAGGAATTGGCCGAGTGAACCCAGCATGCACATTAAGAGACAAAACAGCGGAGTATGACCTTCTAGGGGCACTCCACCAGAAAAAGGAAGAAAGCCTCAGATGGGCATGCGTACAACTTCCTAAACATACTGCTCATGCCCACTTCCCAAGCAGGAAGGAGAGCACTGCGCATGTGGGCGGGCAGCCACCCTAAGGGAAGAATCATGGGAAAGGGGTGCAAGATGCTGGAGGTAGGTCAGCATATAAAATCTTAGGATTAAGGTTAAAGGCTGCACTTGTCCTTCAAGTTGTCCACTTGGGTCTCTTCCAAGCGTACTTTCCTTTCTCTCCTGCTCTAAAGCTTTTTAATAAAATTCCACTCCTGTTCTGAAACTTGCCTTGGTCTCTCCTTCTGCCTTATGTCCCTCAGTCAAATTCTTTCTTCTAAGGAGGCAAGAATTGAGGTTGCTGCAGACCCATATGGATTCACCACCAGTAACTCAGAACCTTCTACCCCTAACATTATCCAGCTGCAGTAAGCTGCAATTGCCCATAGTGGTAACTGTCTTGATGGCACATTCTGTATTGGCTTCCTTCCTTCCCTGATTTACCTCCTACCCATGTTTTGCCAACAAAAAGAGTTAAACTCTGTAAAATAGTTAACGAGATTGATTCTGAGCCAAATATGAGTGACCATGGCCTGTGACACAGCCCTCAGGAGGTCCCGAGAATATGTGAAAGGTGGTTGCAGTGCAGCTTGGCTTATACATTTTAGGGAGACATGGGACTTCAATCAAATACATTTAAAAAATACATTGGTTCTATCCAGGAAGGCGGGACAACTCAAAGCAAGAGGCAGTGGGGTTAGTGGGAGTGAGGGGCTTCTAGTTTATAGGTAGATTTAAAAATTTTTTGGTTGACAATTGGTTGAGTTTATCTAAAGACCTGGGATTCATAGGAAATGTCTGGATTGTGATAAGAGGTTGTAGAGACCAAAGTTTTATCAGGCAGATGAAGCCTCCAAGTAGCAAGTTTCAGAGAGAATGGATTGTAAATGCTTCTTATCAGACTTAAGGTCTGTGTTGATGTTAATGCCAAAGAGGTATGATGAAGCATGTCTGACCGCCACTTCCCATTCTGGCCTGAACCAATCTCTCAAGTTGAATTTTAAGAGAGCCCTGGCCAAGAAGGAAGTCTACTCAGATGGTTGCGGGGGCTGGGGAGCCTTAGAATTTTATTTTTGGACTACAGTTTCCTAGAATCACCTACAATAAACTATTTACACACAAATTACTGTGTTGAAGCTGACTTTTAGGGATCCAAAAACGAGATACAGGAATTCAAATCATGAGACAAGGGTGAAGATTATCTAGAAGAAATGTTGGTGTCCCTTCTCTTATTGCTACCAAGCTGAGCTTTGCAGCACCAGGGATTTTAGCAGCCTCATTCAGGACAGGTCCCAGTGCTTACAACTCCTGAAGCATCTCTCTGAGTGGGGAAACTCAGCCACCTACCTCTGTGACAGAGAACTCATGCTCCTCAGACAGCACGCAATACATAACAGGGCCCCCATTCATATGCCCAGTTTGGGGACCCCAACTCAGGAATTACATAAGGATCCCTAACACTCTCTCTGGAAATGCAAAATTCTAAAGAATCAGAGCAAGGTATTTAAAAAGTGTTTTTTTCACAATATTTTTTCATAATGGAATGAAAATGATGAGAGCAATTCTTAATATAAATACAAATTAAACTGAGGCAATTTAGTGCTGATGAGAACTTCTGCAATAGTTATTTCAGAGCTTCTTGATATAGCATAAACAAGGTGGTTTTGTTTGTTTGTTTGTTTGTTTGCATTTGTTTGTTTTTTGAGATGGAGCTTCACTCCTGTCGCCCAGGCCGGAGTGCAATGGCACAATCTCAGCTCACTGCAACCTTTGCCTCTGGAGTTCAAGAGATTTTCTGGTCTCAGCCTCCCAAGTAGCTGGGATTACAGGCAAGTACTACCATGCCCAGCTAATTTTTGTATTTTTAATAGAGATGGAGTTTTACCATGTTGCCCAGGATGGTCTCAAACTCCTGACCTCAAGTGATCCGCCCACCTCGGCCTCCCAAAGTGCTGGGATTACAGGTGTGAGCCACCACCTGGCCAACAAGGTTTTTTTTAATCCATGTAAAATGTGAGCACAATTAGACACTACATATTCTGCTTTTACTTATCTCTGAATTTAGTCGATGCTCTTTTCAGCCACAAGCATATACCTTTTTTCTCATTATTTTAAGAAATTGTAAAAATGTAAAAAATTGAATATAAACAGGCATATTCTTATCACCCAAAATTAAGTGTTCATATTTCATAAGATTTGCTTTGTAAGTTTTATTTTTTTTAAATAAGAAGAAAAATAAAATCACAGTTTGCCATTTGTTGTGAACGGAGTCAGAGGTTTCTGCCCACCCTTCCGGGTCAGGCTCTCCTCTCCAAGATTAGGTCTTATTAAAAACAAATTTGCCAGCTCCATTTTCTCTTTATTTTTCTACTAAGCTAGCTAAAAGCACTCCAGAAACATTTTTTATTTTCATTTGAAATTATAACCAGAGGCCTATTTTCTGAGAGACCAAAAAGTATTCAGAAACATTTCCCTCCTTGAAACCTAGTCACCCACCCACCTATCATAGCATTTCCTGCCCTGAAGGAGAATTCTCACCAAGCACAGAGGAGAACCCAGATCAGAGCAGAAGACTTTTCACTCTACAGGGGAGCGCTGCCAGCATGACACGTGTTAGCTTGCTGTGGGCAGTCGTGGTCTCCACCTGTCTCGGTAAGGAAGATGTAGGTCTTTCTTTATAAAGGCATCTAATGGGGCTGTGAAGCAGGAGGGATTAACAGAACAGCGACTGCATTGCCTCTTAGAGCCCAGCTACCTGGAGGCAGAAATATGCTCCCTGAGGCTGGAATCACAAAGAAAGGTGTGTGGGAATGGCAATCAGCTTGTGAGTCTGTTTCTCTCTCCCACATGATATCCCAGTGAAGTCCTTTCTCTCCTCTTTCCCACAGAATCCGGCATGGCCCAGACAGTCACTCAGTCTCAACAAGAGATGTCTGTGCAGGAGGCAGAGACCGTGATCCTGAGCTGCACATATGACACCAGTGAGAGTAATTATTATTTGTTCTGGTACAAGCAGCCTCCCAGCAGGCAGATGATTCTCATTATTCGCCAAGAAGCTTATAAGCAACAGAATGCAACGGAGAACCGCTTCTCTGTGAACTTCCAGAAAGCAGCCAAATCCTTCAGTCTCAAGATCTCAGACTCACAGCTGGGGGACGCCGCGATGTATTTCTGTGCTTTCATGAAGCACACAATGAGATGAGCAGCAGGGAGAGGCTTACAGAAACCTCAGACCTCAGCATCTGTGCAAAGGTCATAGGGTGCAAGGGAGGTGGTGGGGTAATAGGTATAGAAAATCACTGACTTCTCTTGGAAATAAAAGCTTCTCCTATTTCTTCTCCTATAAGAAACTCAGAGAGATGGCTGTCTGCAAGCTTCAATCCTTAAAGTAACAGTACAGATAATGACGTGTGCAGTGCATTCCAGTTTGACAAAGTGCCTTCACTAAGGTACTTATTACAGGTCAGATTTCCTAAGCATTTTCTCTGTCCAGAAAATTTTTATAATTTGCCTGGGCACTCTTACCTCCAGGAATTTTAAGTCTTTTCCATTGTTAATTGTTGCTTGTTCTTTTATTTGTCCATCTAATCCAAAGCTGCATCTCCTCAGAACAAGGCACCCATTTTAGAACGCAACGGGTGTGACAATGGTGGCATAACCAGGAAGGGGACCAGCTGGGCCCACCACAGACTTAAGAGATGACCTAGGTCCACCTGCAGTAGAACCTAGAAGAATGATGAAAAGGCTTTAAAATGCTCCGTTGAAGGGCCAGCTCATGGGCAACACCTCAGTGATTGGAATGCTACGTTTCAGAAAATGATAATATTCGTTAAACCACTGGCTGATACATGGTATTGTGGCAAAAGTTTAGAAACCAAGAAATAGACATAGAATAGAGTCTTCTCATATCACTCCCTATAACTCATTTTCAGAATTTGTGTTTCCCTTTCCCACAACCCTAGGTTCTCCTAGATCAGAGGTCCTAGTTCCCAAGGAAGGATGCTCCCTTCAGGGATTTAGTAACCTGCAGCTATGGCTGCCACGTTTAGGTCACTCTGAACTCTCTGTGCCAACAGCCCAGCAGGCAAAGAGAGGAGCTATTAGACTGGAAGGGGTAATTGACCCTAATTATCATGAAGCACCAGGTTGTTGTGACTCAAGGAGGGTGAGGAGGAATGTGGCTATAATGTAAATATTTCACACTGGTGTCTGCTGATGTTTCCATGCCCAATACAAGCAGCAAGCAACAGTTCTTGTAGCAACAAGACCTGAAAAGGGCAACGTGACCAAGAACTGAGACTCTTCAGCAATGAAGTTTTAAAGAACAGAAGCTCATGTCATGCAACCTTCCTGTATTAAAAGCATTAGAGAGATTGTAGTCAGAGGCAACCTTGAAGACACAGTGACACAATGGAAATAATGTAGGGCAAGCATGCATCTGAGCAGTGCAAAGAAAGGACTGTAACTGATATCATATGTGCCTTGTTCTCCCATCCAAATGTCTCTCTGATTTTAGCTAGAGTTGTGGTAGACAATCACACTCACCTCATGCTGGTAACATCCAGCATTAAGCATACTCTATGTTTTGTTTTGTTTTGTTTTATTTTGTTGCTTTCTACCCCAAGGCCTTCTCTAATGTCTCAGGAGATCTCTTAGTTTAAGGGCAAGCACAGCCTGAAATTATAGGGACACTACCACCCCTGTTGGCAAACACCAACCAATGGGGAAAAACAGCCAGGGGATAAACGGACTAGCTTTGTGTCCTTTAAGTAGACAATTCTGAGAGGCAACCTGTATGCTTCTTGGGAGATCCTATCAGAACCAAGTCCCACTTGAGTCAGGTATTGCTCGACCCAATTTCTTCTTTTATAGCTTATTTTTATAGATCAAGGCAGTACAAGTGCCACTTATGATACATGGATATATTGTGCAGTGGTGAAGTATGGGGTTTCAGTGTAACCATCACCTGAATAGTGTACATGGTACTCAATAGGTGCTTTCTCATTCCTCATTCTCCTCCCACACTCCCACCTTTTCGAGCCTCCAATGTCTGTTATCTTTGTCCATGTCTATGCATTATTTAGCTCCCATTTATAAGTAAGAATATGTAGTATTTAAATTTCTGTTTCTGAGTTACTTCACTTAAGATAATGGCCTCCAGTTCCATCCATGTTGCCATAAAAGACATGATTTTATTCTTTTTATGGCTGAGTAGAATTCCATGGTGTGTGTGTGTGACATTTCCTTTATTTAATCATCCATTGATGGACACTTAGGTTGATTTCATATCGTTTCTGTTGTGAATAGTGCTGTGATCAACATAACAGTGAAGTTATATTTTTGATATAATAATTTCTTTGGGGGAGGGGTAGATACCCAGTAGTGAAATGCTGGGTTGAAGAGTAGTTTTATTTTTAGTTCTTTGAGAAATCCCCATACTGTTTTCCATAGAGGTTGTACTGATTTACATTCCCACCAACAGTGAATTAGTGTTCCCTTTTCTCTGCATGCTTACCAAACATCTGTTGTTTTCTGACTTCCTAATGATTGCCATTCTAACTGATGTGAGATGGTATCTCATTGTGGTTTTAATTTGCATTTATCTGATGATTCCTGGTGTTGAGCATTTTCTCATGCTTGCTGACCATTTGTATGTCTTCTTTTGAGAAAAGTCTGTTCATGTCCTTTGCACACTTTTCAATGGGCTTATTTGTTTCTTGCTTGTTGAGTTGTGTGAGTTCCTTGTAGATTCTGGATATTAGTCCTTTGTTGGATCCATGGTTTGCAAATATTTTCTCTCATTCTGTAGGTTGTCTATTTACTCTGTTGATTATATATTTTGTGGTGCAGAAGCTATTTAGTTTAAGTCCCATTAGTCTATTTTTTGTTTTGCTGCATTTGTTTTAAGTTCTCAGTCGGAAATTCTTTGCCTAAGCCAAGATCCAGAGGAGTTTTTCCTAGGTTCTCTTACAGAATTTTTATAGTTTCAGGTTTTATATTTCAACCTTTAATCCATCTTGACTTACTTTTTGTACATAGTAAGAGAAACAGATCCAGTTTCATTCTTCTGTGTGTGGCTAATTTTCCCAGCACTATTTATTGAATAGGGTGTCCTTTCCCCAGTGTATGTCTTTGTCTACTTTGTCAAAGATCAGTTAGTTGTAGGTATGTGGCTTTATTTCTGGATTCCATAATCTGTTCCATTGATCTGTGAGTCTATTTTTAATACCAATACGATGCTATATTGGTACTATAGCCTTGTAGTATCATTTCAAGTCAGGTGATATGATGCATCCAGATTTTTCTTTTTTTTTTTTTTTTTTTTTTTTGAGACGGAGTCTCACTCTGTCGCCCAGGCTGGAGTGCAGTGGCCAGATCTCAGCTCACTGCAAGCTCCACCTCCCGGGTTCACGCCATTCTCCTGCCTCAGCCTCCGGAGTAGCTGGGACTACAGGCGCCTGCCACCTCGCCTGGCTAGTTTTTTGTATTTTTTAGTAGAGACGGGGTTTCACCGGATTAGCCAGGATGGTCTCCATCTCCTGACCTTGTGATCCGCCCGTCTCGGCCTCCCAAAGTGCTGGGATTACAGGCTTGAGCCACCGCGCCCGGCTGCATCAAGATTTTTCTTTTTGCTTAGGATTGCTTTGGCATTCAGGCTCTTTTTTTGTTTCATATTAATTTTAGCATTTTTTCCTAATTCTGTGAAAAATAATGTTGGTATTTTGATAGGAATTGCATGGAATCTACATACGGCTTTAGGCAATATGGTCATTTTAATAATATTGCTTTTTCCAGTTCATAAGCATGAGATGTTTTTTCATTTATTTGGGTCATCCACAATTTCTTTCATCAGTGTTTTGTAGTTTTTCTAGTAGAGATCTTTTACTTTTTTGTTTAAGTGTATTTCTAGGTATTATTTTGTGGTTATGATAAATGGGATTATTTTGTGGCTATTATAAATTTGGTTTGCAGCTTGGTTGTTACTGATGTATAGAAATGTTACTTATTTTGTACATTGATTTTGTATCTTGAAACTTTACTAAATTCACTTATCAAATCTGGGAGTCTTTTGGAGGAGCCTTGAGGGTTTTCTAGGTATAAGGCATATCATCAGCAAACAGATAATTTGACTTTTTATTTTCCAGTTTGGATGCCTTTTATTTCTTTCTCTTGCCAGTTGCTTTGGCTAGGAGTTCCAGCACTATTTTGAATAAAAGTGGTGAGAGTGGGCATCCTGCTTTACCCATTTTCTCACTCCTGCTTCCTGAGATCACTTCCTAAATAAACTACTTTCACCCAAGTTAGTTTCAGGCTCTGTTTTGGGAGGAAATCAAACTAATACAAGGAATCTTTGGAAATCCAAAGATTCTTTGAAAATTTAACAAAGAAAGAACAGAGGAGAGTTCAAGGTGAACCTTACTGGGCTGAGCTAATAAAGGCAAGTGAGTGCTTGAGTGAGTAACTGTAAAAAATAGATGTCACATTTTTTTCAAAAGATGATGAGGCAAATCGCATTTGCTAAACTCCCATCTCTGCAGATATGTGATTATGTCTTTTCAGTGTTCAAAAACTTTACTTTCCAAGTTTTAGCTCTTTCAACTGTCTCTCATTTCCCCTCCCCAAATTTTCTGACCCTTTACTATTTAAACTTCGTTCCTAGTTATTCCCAAAATATGTCTCTCTTCTAGTCAGTTTATTACCCTTACTAGCTCATAAGCACTTAAAGCTCATTGCTACCTCTAGCATTTCTCTACTGGTTGTTCCACCCACCCAAATTTCTCTTTTATGTATATTTCTGACTGCTTAAACCATATGAATCTTACAACCACCATCAGAAATCTCTCTTCCCTCCAAGATTTCTTCTCCAATAATCAAAGAATCCTTTAATTCCTTCTCTTCCAAATGTCATACAGTACCAACTGTGAACCAAACAATCCAACTCTTACTGACATACCTTCTTGAGGCGTTTGCTGTTGTTTCAAGGTACTCATCTTTCCTCCCCAAATACATTATATTCTCTATGCAGATAGAGTTTGCCTTGTACCCTTCATAATTCCTCACTGCTCCTAGCACAGTATTAAGCACATAATAAGTGCTGATAAGGCACAAATATTATGCTTAAAGTTTAAATTATAATCATGCTATATTTCTGAAAGAATATCAAGGCAAAAGGTTTCTCTGAGGATGTAAGATGTGATAGAAGGTAGAATTTAAGAAAGCAATGATAAAGGAAAGGACAGATACAATTTAAACATCCAAGTATTTTGATTTAGTGGAAACATAAATCTGAAACTCGTAAAAAGATTACTTCTAGAATACATTTCTTACTAAACCAAGTTCTTTCCACACAGAGAAGTCCTAGAAACTGCCTCTGTAATTATCTCTTTGACCTGAAGAGGGCACTGTTTGCTGTTGTTTATAGCAGTTATTTACAAAAAACCGATCTCATTTTGAAGAATCTGCTATTCCTAATACATACGAAATAACTAGAACAAATCCTATGTTGTCTGTAGAGACTAGGTCAGATTTCCACATCCTGGAATCAAATTTTCCACCAGTTTAGAAAGGTCAAACCATGGAGGAGCTTTTAGGAACTGTATTTGTGATCTGGTGGCTTTGGCCTGGATGAGAGCTGAGTGAATTCATGTCATCAAGAACACAGAGGACTCAGAAGGTTTTGAGAACTAGTCTCTACATTTTACAGAAGGGATTCAAAAAGTAAATAAAATATTTAATTCACCCTTTATTTAACTTACCCTTAATTCATCTTTTTAAGAAAATTTGCTATCAAGAAAGAGGAAAGCTCTTCCTGACCAACTGTCCAGAAAGACAGAACCAGTCTCTGTTCTCCAGAGAGACAGAACCAATAGGATGAATATATAGATATATGAGAGGGGATTTATTAGAAGAATTGGCTCATGCAATTATGGAGGCTGAGAAGTCCCGTGACAAACTGTCTGCAAACTAGAGAACCTGGGATGCTGGCAGTAGTGTGGCTAGCCCAAATCCAAAAGCCTGAGAACCCAGGGGGCCACTGGCATAAGTCCTGGAGTCCATAGGCCACAGATCCCAGAGTTCTTGTGTCTAAGGGCGAGAGAAAAAGAGTGTGTCCCAGCTCCAGGGGAGAGAGAGACCAAGTGGCTTTTCCTAGGTTTCTGTTCTACCCAGGGCCCTAGCAGACTGGATGCCCACACTGAAGATAGATCTTCCCCACATATTCCATTAAGACTCACAAGCTAATGTCCTCTGGAAACACCCTCACAAACATACCCAAAAATAATGCTTTACCAGTTCTCTAGGTATTCCTTAATTCCGTCAAGTTGACACCTAAAATTAACTATCACCCCATCCACGAAGGAAAGATGTTTTATCATCTACTATAATTATCTGAACAGTGTTTCAGATCCATGGGTATAGAATGAAAAAGATCTAGAACAAGTCTAATGCCTTTGTTTCTGTTCTTGTTAACTAGGGTTTTGTAGTGCAAGGGAAGATAAGCAGCCTCCTTCAGTGCTAGTACCAGCTCCACCTCTCCCTGAACCCCAAGACCACCCAGTCGAGGGACTTAGCCATCTACTTCTGTGCTGCAGGGAACCTACATGCCCCTGAAAGCACCTAAATGCACCACCCCCTCCACCCTGCATTGGGATCTCCACTCAGGGGTTAGTAAACCATCTTCATCACCTCCTCTGACCAAACGAATATTGTAAATGAATATAACAAATCAGAGAAAATCTTGTTTAAAAGACTTTTAAAACATTTTTTGTTCACTGTATTTTCAGATAAGGAATTCACAGTCACAAGAACCCTGACCATAAGCTGTCTGAGGTGATTAGGACTGAGCACCCTGAGTGTTCTTTCATCAAGATCCACTCATCTAAGAGGGGCTGTCTCAATGATTGGAGCGGCTTCTTCCACTTGTGCCATTAATTGCTGATGTGCCTCGGTTTTTGAATCTGTAACAATTCTCCCATGAGAACGTGAGAGTAGGTGTGTGATACTCACATATTTTTCTCCTAGTTTTTACTGTTTATAGTCTAACTAGCTAACTCCAGTAGGATTGATATCCCAAGGAAGCACAGTAGAATTTCCCAGACTGCCCAGAAGGGGTTCTGCTTCCACAAACAGGCAGCCTTCTGCCCACCCCACCCATATTTGCCCACTTACAAGTTCTTTTATATACATCACTTTATTTGGTCTTCAATGTTCAATAACTTGATTAACTGTGGAAGCTGGGAACTGATTGGATGATAAATACAAGATACTAAAGTTCTGATTGCATAGGCCCCAGAGGGTCACAAAAAAAGATAGATCTTGTCTAAAGTGGCAAGATCTATCTATGGCCACACCACCCTGAATGTGCCCAATCTCATCTGAAATGACAAGATCCATTGCAGCATTGGAGTCCCCAATCAGCATTGCAATTGCAGGCCCAGTGAGCCCAGGCAAGAGGCAGAAAACGTTCACTCTTGAGACCCTAATTAGTGAACTCATAGCTGCAGCTGACCTGAGACTGGGAGAGAAGACAGCCCAACCATCTAGAGTTTCCTATACAGACTAGAGAGTGGTGGCACATGCCTGTAGTCCCAGCTACTTGGAAGGCTGTGGTGGGAGCATCACTTGAGCCCAGGAGGTTTAGGCTACATAGTTGTGCCACTGCACTCCAGCCTGGGCGACAGAGTGAGACCCTGTCTCAAAAGGAAAAACAAAAAGGACCAGAGAGGAGAAGGGGGTAAATTGTAAAGTAATAGCATATTTACCAATTTCCTGTGAATTTGTCCAGAAAATAGTAGGTAGTGCAGAAATTTAACACCAAGCAAACAAGAGACCACTGCAGAAGAACTCGACATGCTGTACTTTAAGAAGTCCTCTGGAGTTAAGAACATCTGTGGCAGAATGCCCGCTGTGAATACCATTTCCAAGTGGAAATAATAAATGGGAAGGGAGAGTTAAGACCACCGCTCCCTATACAGCTTTTAATTTAGTCTTTCAGTCTCCTTCTTGTTTTACAGGGGGAAAAGTTTACATAAAGCTGAACTATAGAGAAGTCTTATCTAAGATTGGATGGCACAAATTCAATAGGGAGAGAGAATTAATGCAAATCAAACCAGTAGTTCTCTGTATTGTGAGTTTTCATTTTTGCTCTGTTGTCTCTTCTACAAAATGAAGACTAATTCCTGACCTTTCCTCCCTCAAAGAAGAATGTGTGCATGAGGAAAAATCAGGTGCCAAGGAAAAGCTGTCAGATGTGCAACACAGAATGTTCCCAAATGAATTTTATGTTAATTGTTCTGAGTCTTCCTTCACAAAGTCATTAACAGAAGCACACAAAAGCCCTTGCCACCAGTATTGTAGAGCTTCTTGACACAGCCAAAATCAGATATTCTTTTTTTAAAAAAGAAAGTCTTCAGCAAATTACAGTATAATTAGATATCAAAATTCTGGTTTCAATTTTCTCTAGACTATCTGAATGTTATTGTTGTTGTCATTATTTTTCATCATTTCTCAAAGTATTAAAATACAATTTGGTCAAACAATTACATAACCAATACCTGTGTTATCATAACCCAGAAACAATTTTCTGATATTGGCTTCAAGACAGAGGAGGGAGAGAAAAAAAGGAAAGAAGGAAGGAAAATAAAGGAAAAAAGAGGAGTAAGGGGAAGGGAAGGAGAAAGGGTAGACGGGAAGGAAAGAGAGAGAGAGAAAGTGGAAAGACAACAAAAGCTTATAGAGAAAACTGAAGTCACAACATCAGCTTGGCCTGTTTTTTCCCCACCCATCTCATTCTCCTTTCCAAATTATGTCTTTAAAAAACAATTTATCCGCTCCCTTTCCTCTTCATTTTTATTCCCAAATAAATTACAGTTCCGACAACACCTTTTTTTCATTAGACATTATAGTCAAAGTTTTATTTTCTGAAGCAAAAGACAAAAAGTGTCAAGGAGCTTTCCCTAAGGGAGACATCATAAACAGCCCACCTGACATCCCATTTCCTGTTCTAAAGCAGCTACAGCACCAGTACAGCTGATACTCAAGGTTCAGATCAGAAGAGGAGGCTTCTCACCCGGCAGCAGGGACCTGTGAGCATGGCATGCCCCGGCTTCCTGTGGGCACTTGTGATCTCCACCTGTCTTGGTAAGGAAGGCACATGTATTTACCTTAACTAGTATTCAATAGAACAGAGAAGTGGGAAGAAAGATTAATCGTGCAGAAATCTAATCTCCTCATTGGGCCCAGATATTAGAGGCAAGAAAGTTGATGGATTTTGTCAGAGGTTTGGATCAAGAGGTAGAAAGCTGGGTTGCAATGGGAACAGGCTTGTGAGTCTGTTTCTCTCTTCCACATGATATCCCAGTGAAGTCCTTTCTCTCCTCTTTCCCACAGAATCCGGCATGGCCCAGACAGTCACTCAGTCTCAACCAGAGATGTCTGTGCAGGAGGCAGAGACCGTGACCCTGAGCTGCACATATGACACCAGTGACAGTGATTATTATTTGTTCTGGTACAAGCAGCCTCCCAGCAGGCAGATGATTCTCATTATTCGCCAAGAAGCTTATAAGCAACAGAATGCAACAGAGAATCGTTTCTCTGTGAACTTCCAGAAAGCAACCAAATCCTTCAGTCTCAAGATCTCAGACTCACAGCTGGGGGACGCCGCGATGTATTTCTGTGCTTATAGGAGCGCACAGTGAAATAAGCAACAGGGAGAGGCTTACAGAAACCTCAGACCTCAGCATCTGTGTAAAGGTCAGGGGGAAGTGTTCAGGGTTATAGGAACACAAAGAGGAAATCATTGTCTTCACTAAAGGAAAAAAAAAATGTATCTGACTATAGGAAACACAGAGGGGATGTCTATCAGCTGTAATTTTTGAAATAGTAATAAAATAATGAATCCACACATGCTTTATAGATTTTCAAAATACCTTCACGTGTTAATTCATTAAACCTGCACAAGCCCGTGTGTTACATAGGTCAGATAACATATTCTAAGCATCACTGCTATCCAGAGAATCTTAGAGCTTGACCTAAAGCTCTATTCTTTTAGAATTATGTATTTTTGCTTTATTATTTTAATTACTATCTGTCTGTACATCCCATGATGATATCAAAGTCAATATATCCAAAAGGCCAGGCGCGGTGGCTCAAGCCTGTAATCCCAGCACTTTGGGAGGCCGAGACGGGCGGATCATGAGGTTAGGAGATCGAGACCATCCTGGCTAACACGGTGAAACCCGGTCTCTACTAAAAAATACAAAAAACTAGCCGGGCGTGGTTGCGGGCGCCTGTAGTCCCAGCTACTCGGGAGGCTGAGGCAGGAGAATGGCGTAAACCCGGGAGGCGGAGCTTGTAGTGAGCTGAGATCTGGCCACTGCACTCCAGCCTGGGCGACAGAGAGAGACTCCGTCTCAAAAAAATAAATAAATAAATATATATAAATATATATATATATATATATATATATATATACACACACACAAAACTGAATTTCTTACCATCTCCACAAGCCTTTATTTTTTCTTCTTTTTTTCCTCCTCAGCCTTGCTCAAGATTCAGGAACACAATAAAAGTTTGCTATTCCTGTGTTTCCAGTTTGGGGAATTTCTTCACCCTCGACTTTCCAGCCTGGGCTATCAGATTTTTATGCATACCTTATTACTTTCTAATTATAAAATGGTGCAAAAAAACCACTACATCATGTCAGACTCACTGTTTCCCATCCATCCATCATTCTTTCTGACTTTAACCTGGCTTCATCCTGTATTTCTTAACATTCTTTAAAGCATCATTTGTCTTGACATAAGAAAGTAAGGAAAGAAAGCAAACAATTGTCAAGTAGGATTTCATGTACTGCTAGTACTCACCAGCAAATGCTAAAAAAAATTAAAAAATAAAAATAAAAAAGGAAGTTAACTTCTGGTAATGCCATAATTGCTTCTGGTAAGGCAGTCTAGCAGGTGGTGACAATTTAGATAAACCTGGTCTAACAGTAAGGCCAAGCAGCTGCCATGGTCCAAGTCACCACACCTATGTCTTCTGAGACTTGGGAGAATTCTCAGAATTGGGAGATGCCTGGACCGTGAGAGGATTCTCCCTTATGCTAAGGGAAAAATTAAAATAAATGAAAAAAATAATGCCAACATTTCTTTTTATGCCCACAATTCCCCCAATACATCTCCTTCACTATTAAGCCTCTTGTGGAGCATTTTATTCCATCTGCTCACTGTGGGTGGTGAGAGGCAGTTTGGAATGACAAACTGCTGAAATAATTAAGTTCAATAAGCAGGCTGCAGAGTTTAGGTTGGGGGTCTGTTTGGAATGAGTGGTGAGAGCGACTGGATGTGGGAGATGCTAAGGGGAGGCCAAGACCAAACTGCGGAATCATAATTCAGATTGCTGAGTCATTTCCCAAACACAACAGCTTCTGTAACGCCACACCCTAGCCCAGCTGGGCACCTAGGCTTCTACTTGTCTGGAAAAGTAGGGTAGGCACCAATCAAAATAAAACCTTTCTCTCACACAAGGAAGACACCTTCAGGCTATTCAGGTTTTGCCCTCCCTTTTACCCCTGAGGCCCATCAGTCACGCAGACTTAGATTCAGGCTAGTTACCAAGTTTCATATCTAAACTCATTTCTTTCCATCCTTGCTTCTAGTGCTTTCATGCAGCTCCTCTCATTTGAATTAATAAATAATCATTCATCTACTCTGTCTACCTTCAATTGCGTCCCCTTTTAATTTGGTTTAGCTGTGTCCCCACTCAAATCTCAACTTGAATTGTATTTCCCAGAATTCCCACATGTTGTGGGAGGGAACCAGGGGGAGGTAATTGAAACACCGGGGCTGTTCTTTCCCATGCTATTCTCGTGATAGTGAATTAAGTCTCACAAGATCTGATGGGTTTATCAGGGGTTTCTGCTTTTGCTTCTTCCTCATTTTTCTCTTGCCGCCGCCATGTAAGAAATGCCTTTCACCTCCCACCATGATTCTGAGGCCTCCCCAGCCACGTGTAACTGTAAATCCAATTAAACCCCTTTTTCTTCCCAGTCTTGGGTATGTCTTTATCAGCAGCATGAAAACAGACTAAAATACACCCTTCAAACATTGCTTCACATAGCTGCCTGAGTGAGCATCCTATAATAAAAATCAGATCATGTACACATACCTCTGCCTCAATAAAGCCTCATTTCCCACAGAAAGGCCCTGATTATTTAGAATATAGGTCCGTCAAAGCAGAGGCCACCACTGTATTTCCAGCACTTACTATGCCTGATAGGGTAAATGGTCAGGGTCATCTATTCATGGATTAATTAGGCTGTCCCCTGCTTAGCAACTTTGCCTCATTTGTTGCTATATTCCCATCTCCCAACACCATACACGCTCAACCTCTCAGCAAATGAAATTGTTTCCTACATCTATGCCTTTGCCAGCATTGTCCCCTCAGCATGGAATGCCCATCCCCAACTAACCACTTGCCTATTATTTAAAAGGTTCGCAAGCCTCCTCTCTTCTCTGAATCCTTGTCCTGACCCTCTTGCACCGGTAGAACTGATCACTTTCTCCTTTATCTCCTAACTGAAACCCTAAGCATATTTCTAATGTGGCAAATCTAACACTTCATGGTGTTTATAGGTATTTTTCACTGTCTCCTCACTAAAATGCAAACTGTTAGTTACCAAGGACACAGTTTTACTCATTTCAATAGCAACTGTGCTTACAACAATCTTTAATTCACAGAAATGATTTTTTAAAGTTTTTTGAATGAAGGTAATTAATTGATGGGCATTTTCCTCATTAAACATTGTAGAGTAAAAATGGATAAATTTTCTATTTTGCTATCTCCTCTATAGTTGTGTCAACTCAGAATTCTGAGCTAACTCATAGGACTGTATGGCATGTCAAAAATTAATAGTAACAACAGTATCATGCTGATAATAAAAATATTAGTAGTAGCTAACAATTATTGAGTATCTATATGCACCCCATATTCTGAGAGGTGCATGACATGCCTTATATCATTTAGTAGTCCCAACAAATCCATGCTGTAGCTACTATTGATATTCTAATTTTATGTGAAGAATTAATATAAGTTCAAAGAGGCCAAAATGCCTAGAATCACACAATGTATGACACCTTAACCACTGGACTTTTTGCCTTCCCAAAGGGTGGCAAACTGCTATAGCATCTCAGTCTTATTAATGTAACAGACACATAGAACATAAGAAAGAAATTCATGAAGACAGTGCTGTATGCCATACATGCACTTGTAGTCCTCACTTTTTCTAGAGTAGTAATTGCAAGATGAGACTTATTTCAATTATCTTTATTAATAGAAGTTAAATGTAAAAATGACACTATTACCATTATTGTTTACATAGGAAATTTGTGCCTTTTTAACATTAGTTTGTAATTATTTGACTTGGGATTACACAATATTTTAAACTTCTTCAGTGCATTTTTCAATAGCGTTTAGGTTTAAAAATGCAGTCTTTGGCAGGGGCATTAATAAATGTTTCAAATGTCATTTTGTATAACTCTATGAAGAATACAAGAGTTTAGAAGAAATTTCTAACCTTCCCAAGTTATCCAAATTTCCAAGTTATCATAGGAAAATCCTTCCTTTGTAACTTTTTAAACTTTTTTGTATATGGTTGGGTGTTTCTATGAAATCTGCTTTTCCATTTTTTTGCTTCAGTGAAAAACTAATATATTGTGAAAATGCTCCCATATAAACAAGCAGTTTTTCTATAGCATGAGTTTTCCATGGCTATATTATATTTTTGAAATATACTTCATTTTACTCAATAACTTGAGGGTTTTTTTTTTTTTTTTTTTTTTTTTTCAGATGGAGTCTCACTCTGTCACCCAGGCTGGAGTGCAGTGGTGCAATCTTAGCTCACTGCAACCTCTGCCTCCCAGGTTCAGGCAATTCTCCTGCCTCAGCCTCCCGAGTAGCAAGGATTACAGGTGCGCACCACCCTGCACAGCTAATTTTTGAATTTTTAGTGGGGGTTTCCTTGTGTTGGCCAGGCTGGTCTCAAACTGCTGACCTCAATTGATCCGCCTACCTCGACCTCCTAAAGTGCTGGGTTTGCAGGCATGAGCCTCTGCGCCCGGCCTAACTTGAGTTATTGATCGAGTAAATCAACAAATACAGTAAGCATGATAAGTACATTGTTTCCAAACTGGAGCTATTATAAGTAAAACTGTAATTTTAAAAAGATGCTTGTACATAGAATAGTATGCAAGTAAGAGAGAGCCCAGATCAAAGTAACTGAAGCAAAACAAAACAAAACAAAAATCTGTTGGCTAATAAAACTGAAAAATCTGGGTTAACTACTTTAGGAAGGACTGGACTAAATGCTCAAATCATATCACCACAGCATGTCTCCATCGTTTAGCTCTTGTTTATATTGGCTTTACTCTGAAGCAAGCTCAGGCCCACGTGATGGCAAAGATGGCCACCAGGAGCCTCAGACTTGTGTCCTACTGTGTTAGTTTCCTCCTGCTGCTGTAACAAATTACCACAAAAATGGTGGCTTAAACAATATTACTTTATTATCCTACAGTTTGGGAGCTCATAAGTCTCAGTGCACTAACACAAAGGTGTTGGCAGGGCTATGTTCCTTCTATAGGCTCTAGGGGAGACTGAGTGAAACGCTGAGCTTCCCCAGCTTCTAGAGGCTGCTGCATCCCTTGGCTCATGGACCTCTTCCATCTTCAAAACTAGAAATCACAGCACTGTGACCTCTACCACCGTTGTCACATCTCCTGTCACCTTCATGGACCGCCTGAGCCTTGACCCTTGAGATTACATTGCGATCCGCCAGATATTCCAGAATAGTCTTCTCATCTCAAGATTCTTGGTGAATCCCATTTTCTGAATCACATTTTCAAGAAAATTTGCCACATAAGGTAACATATTCACAGGTTCT